AAAAAAAAAAAAAAAAAAAAGACAAGACAAGACAAGACTAAGGCATGTTTCTCTCCCTCTCTTACGAGAGGTTACATCACCACATCTTTACAACAGCCACCAAATGATGTGACCATGTAAGTCTTTGTTGCATAAGAGATAGATTTTAGCAGCTGAAATTTGCCTTTTGAGAGGCAAGGCGGGCAGACCACTTGAGCTCAGTTCAAAACCAGTGGGCAACATGGTTAAACCCTGTCTCTAAAAAAATACAAAAATTAGCCAGGCATGGTGGCACATGCCTGTGGTCCCAGCTACTCAGGAGACTAAGGCGGGAAGATTGCTTGAACTGGGAAGTGGAGGTTGCAGTGAACCAAAATCATGGTACTGCACTCCAGCCTAGGAAACAGAGGAAGACTGTCTCTAAAAAAAAAAAAAAAAAAAAAAAAAAAAAAACCACTTAGGGAGATGAATGCTCTTATCTCCCCAAGTCGTGGGACAGCTATAGTATGCCTGCAAGGGCTGCTGGGAGGGTGAGAAGGGAGAAGGGCAGCACTCTAACAGGCAGGTGCCAGGGCCCCCCCACCCCCCACCCACGCTGTGGTTGTCCCAGGCTGGGCCGTCCTCTGGCCAGCTGCTGCGCACCTTTGGCATGGAATGTCCAGCCCCTCCGCCAGTACTCCTGCAGCTGGACCCGCTCCTGCTGACCCAGGCTGCACACTTCGCTGTAGAACTGCCGCTCGATGTGCACATAGGCGGCCGGGATGGCGCCGGCCACCCCCTTGGCCCCGAAGAAGCCATTCACCTCTGGTGAGGCCAGCAGGATCTGGTACTCCGCCCGAGTGCCCAGGACCAGATCCATGTACGCCTGGGTCAGGTTGAAGTAGCCAGTGGTGAGGTAGACCTTTGCACCGCACTCGGCCTCTGTCAACAGGGTCTCAGTGACAATCTCATCGATTTGAATCTCAAAGGGCTTCATCTGAATCAGTGGATAAATCCAGGTGTCAGGGGCTGGTCTGCGGTCCCCAGCAGCTGCTGCGTCTTCCTGGGTCAAAAGGGAGTTGCTGTGGAAGGTCTGGGCATGCAGCATCTGCTGGCGGGTCCTGGCTGAGTTGATCACATCCATGACCCTTTTATTGGCTGCCTTACAGTACTCCGCCCGGTCACCTAGAGGAAGATGCCAGAAAGAGGAATGAAGGGAAGAGAAATGGAGGGTCTGGACTCTGCCCAGCTTAGGGAACAGGGCATGTGACAGGCAGATGCAGACGCTACAACTGGATGTTCCCTGAACACACAGTGAGTGAGCCCAAGACCCCTCAAGCCCAGGGCGAGGTTCCTCTGCGGAGAGTTTGCCCAAGACAAGGGCCTTGTCCACAGCAGCCCACACTCAGGCAGAAGTGAAAGGCATGTCGACATATCATCCCAATTACAAACAAGCTCAAAACCAGGCAAGACAAATTTACAGGGAAAGAAATCAGGAGAGTGGTTACCTTGGGGATAATTCCTGGGGTGGGGACAGAGGGGGGCCTCCAGGAAGCGGATCCACTAGGAACAGGTTCATGGCTGTGCAGTTGGGACTGGCGTTCGCTGTGCATGTTCTACTTCAATAAGGAAGCTCATTCAAATTCAGATACACGCGAATAACCAAAAAAGGAGCATGCGTATGCCACAGACGGGGTCATAGGGAAAGCCCTGGATAAGCACCATCAGGGAAAGCTTCCCACAGCAGTGACAGTGCCTGGGAGAGAGGAAGAACCGGCAGGTTCAGGTGCTACATAGGGAGCCCTCTGTATTCGGACAGAACACTGGTGACCAGGCAGACACACTGAAGGGAAAGACGCTATGATCAGACAAGACACAGCTGAAAATTAGCAAGTTAAGCATCCAAAGCAAAAAGTCAGGGGAAAGAAACAGAATAAAACCACGAATACAGCACAGGGAAGAAAAAAAACAGAAATAAGATCAGGCCAGGCGCGGTGGCTGACGCCTGCAATCCCACAACTTCGGGAGGCTGAGGCGGGCAGATCACCTGAGGCCAGAGGGATGACACCAGCCAGGCCAACATGGTGAAAGCCTGTCTGCACCAAGAATAAAAATACTAGCTGGGCGTGGTGGCGAGTGCCTGTAATCCCAGCTACTCCAGAGGTTGAGGCTGGAGAATCAAACCTGGGAGGCAGAGGTTCAGTGAGCCAAGATCACGCCAGCACACTTCAGCCTGGGTGACAAAAGCAAAAAACTCCAAAAAAAAAAAAAAAAAAAAAAAACTATATATATAATGAAAACAATACAGAAATCGAGAGGATCCACTGTGGAAAGCTGACTCTCTGATAAAGGATAGTGAAACAGGGAAGGAGAGCTGCCCTGAGTCATCCTTGCCGGTTCGGACGGTCTGAACTGATAGCAGGGACAGATACTCAGTGCCTCTCAGGGCTGGGCTACAGAACAAAGAGAAGGATCGGCTGGTGCAGCCGACTTCCCTGTTGACGCCAGCACCATCCAGGGCAAAAAGGAGTCACACTGCCGCATGCTAGACAGGGCTGCGGGAGGAAGGCGCGCCGGGCGCCTGAGCACACCCTGGACCTCTCCGTGGACTCTCACTCTTTCGAGTCTCCCGCTCCCGCTCCAAGCCTGCTGGCTCTCATCATGGCCCATTTTCTCTCATGTCCATGCCTGGCCTGTTACATTAGACCAGGCATCCATACACATTTTCTTTAAGGGTCAGATGGTACACATTCTAGGCTTTCTGGGCCAAAAGGCAAAGCTGAGGATGCTAGGTAGGCACTCAGAAGAGAAACAGAGCCTCCACAAGCTCTTTACGGAAGAAATTCAAAATACAACGGTATAACCGAACGTGGTTACGGGCAGAGCACCGCACATTACAGCCAGGTCGAGAGGCCCAGCGCTCCTCTGACAAGAGCACAGGGCGCCCGTCCGAAGGCCCACTGAAATGCTTCCATTCTAGGTCCACAGGACGCGGAGAGCTCTTCTCCTAACAAGGTTCAAGTTCAAGCCCTTCTGCCCAAGTTCAGCACACTGTAGCAAATCCAGCAGTGGCCCTCTAAAGGCCACGGAGGAGCCACAGCCACAGGAATCACAGGAATGCAAATGCCCCAGAATGCTCGCGCCAGGACCTGCCTGGTTCCAGTGGGCAGAGTTGAGCTCTTCCAACACTTCACTTTCCAGGCAGGGGGCCACAGACCGGAAGGGAGCTGGGAGCCACAGGCCCACGTGGTAGGCTTGGGGGAATGGACCCTAGACAGCAGCTGCTGGCCAGGTTGCTTCCTGTGATGCAGGGCAGGCTCCTGGGTCACTCGCCCAGGCACACAGGCCCAGGCCCACACTTCCACCTTTCCGGGCCGGCTCTCTCACCCACAGAGCATGACTGATGGTCAGTGACTCACATCTGTCTGGCTTCAAGGACAAAAGCAGAATGAAGCCCTGCCACCCGAGTCTCCTATGCCCGTGGCAAGGCCACCAAGAGGTGTGCTCTCCTGGGCCCTCACCCCACGCCACCCACAGCCATAGCAGGGTGTCAGTGGCAGCCCCTACCTTTGTAAGGGTGCACCATCCCATCGAGCACCTGCACCGTGTCGTCGCCCTGCAGCTGCAGGGACACATCCCCCACCGCGTCCACCAGCTCGGTGAAGAAGTCGGCAATCTCCGCACAGTCCTGCAAGAACACGTAGCGGTCCTGGCGGTTGGTGAAGTAGGAGTCACTCAGGTTTGCACTACAGGAAGGGAAGACGCAGGTGAGGCGGACTCAGGCAAGAGTATGCAGCAGCGTGTCCTGGTGACCCAGGTCTCAGGTCAACTAACGGGGGGGGGGGGGCGGTGACAAACAACTCAGGTCAGGATGCAATTAACAAATAGCTACTCAGCAATGAACATGTGCAAGAGACAAAGCCAGAGCCAATCCAAGGTGACAGGTGACACAGCAATGCGACCCACAGGCCGTCCTCTCAAGGAGCTGACAATGTAGCTGAGAAGAGGAGATGCAGAAAGTCAACTAATCATGCAGGGCATTTTTCCTTTTTTTTTTTTGAGACAGAGTTTCGCTCTTGCTACCCAGGCTGGAGTGCAATGGCGCGATCTCGGCTCACCGCAACCTCCGCCTCTGGGTTCAGGCAATTCTCCTGCCTCAGCCTCCTGAGTAGCTGGGATTACANCAATTCTCCTGCCTCAGCCTCCTGAGTAGCTGGGATTACAGGCGTGCGCCACCATGCCCAGCTGATTTTTTGTATTTTTAGTAGAGACAGGGTTTCACCATGTTGACCAGGGTGGTCGCAATCTCTTGACCTCGTGATCCACCCACCTCGGCCTCCCAAAGTGCTGGGATTACAGGCTTGAGCTACCGTGCCCGGCCCTTCTTTTTTTTTTTTTTTGAGACAGTGTCTCATTCTGTCGCCCGGGCTGGAGTGCAGTGGCACGATCTTGGCTACCTGCAGCCTCCACCTCCCAGGTTCAAGTGATTCTCCTGCCTCAGCCTCCCGAACAGCTGGGATGACAGGGGTGCACTACCACACCTGGCTAATTTTTGTATTTTAAGTAGAGACAGGGTTTCGCCATGTTGGCCAGGCTGGTCTCAAACTCGGGTGATCCCTCTGCCTCAGCCTACCAAAGTGCTGGGATTACAGGCGTGAGCCACCGTAATCAAACAGGGCTATTTATCAGCACCCATGTTTGTTTGTTTTCTTTGTCCCATTAAGTGACAGCTGCCACTGGTACAGTACCAGGGCAAGGATGCCATCAAGGGCTTTCTCTCGGCACCAGGAACCCAATCCTGGCCCCACTCCGAGGAGAGGGCCCGTGAAAGGGCCCATGTTTATCAGCCCAAGGACCTGGACTTCCAGGTCTGACTCTCGGTTATTTCGCTGGCTCTCTCTACCTGACAAGTGCCTTAACCTCTTTCATCTGTTTCCACATGTACACAGTGAGGAAAATACTACAGAAGGTCACTGTGAGGCAAGAACAGACAGCATATCTGCGTGGCCAGCACACGCTAAGTGTCCAATCAATGGTGGCTTCCAGTAAGCCCTTGGGGGCTTCCGGCCTCAGTGGCAGAGACAGTGGCATGGGAGGTGCTGTGGGTGCACAACAGCCAGACCTACAAGCAGGTTCTCTAAGGCCAAGGGGAACGAGTTTCCCACTGCTCCTATTCCACTGCCCTCCAGCCTGCAGAACACGAAGGCGAAAGCGCCGAGGGTGGGAAGCACTCACCCGCTCAAGATGACGCTGTTGTCGAAGAGGTACACCTTAATGTGCTGGAGGCCGATGGTCTCGTTGAAGCGCTCAGGGATGAGGAGCCGGAGCAGGCCGCGGAGGTGCGGTGTGTGAAAGAGGGAGACTCGGACCTGCTCTGGGAACCTCTGCAGAAGTGGGAGCAGCATCGTGCGTGAGTTCTTCCGGCCTGAACACACAGACAGAGAAAGCAGCAGCTGACTCACAGCAGGAAGGCGTCCTGCCCCCACCACCTCCATGTGCCTCTCCTTCGCCTGTGCCATCCACCTGAATCAGTCGCACCAACTGGGGCTACTCCGAGCCAGAGGTCCCCCAGCCACCCTCTGTCCTGCATGCTGGCCATGTATCAGTCCTGGAGTGCTGGGCACGGCAGACACCTGCTGTTTTTGCCACCCAGCATCCACTCAGCCTCCTCCTGGGGCACTACTCCATCCACTTGCCGCATTTCTGCTCTGGGGGAAGATGACCCTACCCACCTCACCCCTCGCCCCCAGCTCCATGGGGGAGCACATAGGCCTGGTCTGGGCTGCTCAGCACACTCTAAGCTCCCAGCTGGGCATGCGCCCACGTCAGGCCACTCAGGGGCTTTGACCTGACTCTCAGGGAACCAGACTCTTCCAAACGACAAGGTATCCTGGGGAGGCAGGCCTGAGCCACCAGCGGCCACCACACAGAGCCTGAGGAGGAAGCCAGCCCAAAGGAAACAGCTAAGGGATGGATCCTGGTGACATAGTCAAACCTCAAATCCCAAGCCGCCCAAGATGGATCGGTCACAGGAATTCACAACCAAAGTCTTTCTGCCCGTGGCAGTTTTTCAAGAGACAAAGTCTGGCTACGTTGCCCAGGCTGGACAAAAACTCCTTGGCTCAAGCAATCTGCCCACCTCAGCCTCCCGAGCAGGTGGGACTACAGGGCGAGCCACTGCACTCGGCTCCTGCCTTAGCTGTTTTTAGTTGGGCTTTCAATTACTTGCTGCAGAAAAAATCCTAACTCGCACCATGAGGCAGTCCTGGGTCGGCATGGATGATCTTCAAACAGCCCCGTCTCTGCATGAGGATGAGGGCGTGACAGTAATTCCTCCAGGAACTGAGTATCTGACACAGGAAGCATGAGGGGGCCAGGCGTGCATGCCACCTACCTCGTGAGCCCCGTGTGAAGTCTAAAAGAATGGAGACCTTGAGATCTGAAGGAAACTTTGCTTGGAGTGACTTTTCTAGAGTACTTTCCAGGCAGTCCACCTGCCAAGAAAGAACACAGACGAAGAAAAGATGAAGACCCAAAGATTAAGACAAAAATTGGGCTGGCTGGCCGGCTCTACCAAGGGCTGGTGTCAGGTCCAAGTTCCCCACGGACTTGTTGTGCCACACTTGTCACTTACCGTGAGACACGTGAGTGGGAAGACGCCAGCGGTCACCAGGTTTGTATGAGGTGTTGGGGCCAGAGGTGTATGTAAAAAGAAACCAATCGCCCCATTACCTAGCGCCCTCATCATCTTCTCCAAAGACAGGTTTGTGCCATCGGCACTCAGACACCAACGCCACAAAAGCTCTCTGTCTGAGAGCCCCTTCATGATCATCAGAAGCAGCCACCCAGGGGCTCTGATCAGCCCAGGCCTCTAGGAAGGGAAGGGGGACCTACAGGCAGAGGCATGCTGCCTGATAGCCAGCCCTTGCCACCCTGGAAACGCTACGACACCAGGTTCTACGTACATTTCAACACAGACAATCCTCACACAGACACAACAAACAGTGCCCTCCTCATAAAGAGCACTTTAGTAAATGCTTGCCAAATAAATGAATCCAAGACACAACCTGCCCACTGGCTGCTCTCCACAATGTGGGCATTATATTATTCTCTCATGAGGACAGGCTCCCAGGCTTGGAATGGAGGGTATACCCTAAAAATAGAGGGAGGCCTACTTCCTAGGAGAGGCAGAGAGGGGAGGACTGCTCATGTGAATCCACTGCCCTCCCTCTCCATGCTGTAATCCCTACAGCTTCCACCTGTGACTCTGAACAAGGACAGACCAAGAAACAGCACTAACTCTGGGCAACAGGCCCATCCATTTCACTATGCCGAGCAGAAAGCAATCCCAGGAGACTAAGAGAAAGAAGTGATCTCATTCACACACCCACTTCAGCTGAACCGCGGGTCCCTCCATGCACCAGAACCTGCGCTAGCCCCAACACCTCATACAAACCTGGTGATCGCTGGCTCCTTCCCACCCACCTATCTCACTGTAAGTGACAAGTGTGGCACAACGGCAAGTCCGAGGGGAACAAGGCTGGCCGCAGCCCTGGCACCTAACACCAGTCCTTGGCAGAGCTGGCTGGCCAGCCAGCCTAACCTGCATTCAGGCCCATTAGTCTATATGGGGTCAGAAAGCCTTTTCTGTAAACAGCCAGAGAGTAAATTATTGGAGCTTTACGGAGCAGATGGGTTCTGCCAGTGCAGCATGAAAAGCGGCCACAGATAATACACAAATGAATGTGTGGCTGTGTTCCAATAAAATGTTATTGACCAATACAGAAATTTACATTTTTCATAAGTCACGAAATATCTTTTTCTTCCCCAATTATTTGAAAATGTAAAAACCACTGTTTCTCAGCTCACAGGCCACTCCAGCCTGCAGAGCATGAAGCCGAGCCCTGGACACAGTTGGCCGAGACAGAGCTGCCTGGGGCTCTGTGTGGGCAGGAGGACACTGCCAGCGAGGCCAGAAGGCCCCGACCAGGCCTCCCCACGTTCTCCTCGCCAGGCCCTCCTGACATGCCCATATCTGGGGCAACAAAAACAAGAGCTGGCTCTGCCATGGAGACCAAGGAAGGGCCGCTCCAAACCAACTCCATGGCGCAAAATGCTGTGGCATGCTGGGGCCCATTCACTACTGCTGCCAGGACCATCTCCCCCAAAACCTTACCAGCTCCTGTTCCAAAGGACCTGTCCCCAGGTAGAGGGATGCCATCACGACTCGCCTCTTGGCCACTCTTATCTGCCCCTGAAAGAGGAGAAAAATTCAAAATTCACATACATCATTTTCATGGTTCACTAAGAAAATAGAACCCTTTGACCTAGGAGGCAAATCGCACTCCATGCTGAACTATCCTATGTCTTCACCGATTATTATTTAAAGCAAGCTGAAAATGTGTATGGTAACCACAATCCTAAGTGAAAATAGCCTGCAAAGTAAAGCGCAGTCTAGGACAACTATAAAATACAGTGCAGCCATTAAGAAGAAAGCAAGCAGGCTGGGTGTAGTGGCTCACGCCTATAATCCCAGCACTTTGGGAGGCCAAGACAGGTAGATCACTTGAGGCCAGGAGTTCAAGACCAGCCTGGCCAACATGGTGAAACCCCGTTCTACTAAAAACACAAAGATCTGGCTGGGCACAGTGGCTCAGGCCTCTAATCCCAGCACTTTGGGAGGCCAAGGCAGGCGGATCACCTGAGGTCCAGAGTTCAAGACCAGCCTAACCAACATGGAGAAACCTCACCTCTACTAAAAATACAAAAAATTAGCTGGGTGTGGTGGCGCATGCCTGTAATCCCAACTGCTCGGGAGGCCAAAGTAGACGAATCACTTGAACCCAGGAGGTGGGGGTTGCAGTGAGCCAAGACTGCATGACTGCACTCCAGCCTGGGCAACTCCATCTCAAAAACTAAAAAAATTTTTAAATATAATAAATAAAAGCATAAAGATTAGCCAGGCCATGGTGGCACATGCCTGTAATCCCAGCTACTTGGGAGGCTAAGGCAGAAGAATCACTTGAACCCAGGAGGCAGAGGTTACAGTGAGCTGTGATCACAACACTGCATTCCAGCCTGGGCAACAGAGCAAGACTCTGTCTCAAAACAAAGAAGAATGAAGGCAATCTGTGCATACTGCCACGAACATCCACAACAGATTGCTAAGACAAAAGCAAATGACCCGTTCTCCCCGCTCTTACGCCTCACTCCTGCACACAGCATGCAGGCAGGCACACGTGTGTCTGCAGAAGCATGAAGAATACGTAGCAAACTGTTCCCCAAACAGCAGAGCTCAAAGGAAGGGGAGTATGGACACAAACCTGTCCTCTTCACTTTCTACCCATCTGCACAGTTTCCAATGTCCATACTGAGCACGCATCACTTTTGAAACGTAGACAGGCAGGTATACAGACACTCGGGCAGAACACACCAATGCCCAAAGATGGCATCCCAAATCGGTCCTAACAGCCAGGTCCTCTCCCTAGCAGCCCCATTCCATTCCGGAGGAGGAAGCAGGGGTGCAAAGAATGGCAGTGTACCAAAGGTCAAACCCCAAAAGATACACAGGAGACGCAGGTGAGAAGGAGGCAGCTTCACATCTACCTGCTTCCCTTTCAGAAGGAACATCACAGCCCACCCCACATCCTCAACACAGGAAGACTGGCAACTTGAGTAGACAGAAACATGAATGATCACTAGGAAAGCCTTCCGGACAAGGAAAAAACAAAGCAACTTTCCAAGGTTGCTATTTCCTTTGTTTTGTTACCAAGTAAAATAGATGTTTGTGGGGTTGATGATTATAAAGAAAGGGAAAAAATAAATAAGGCATAAGACAATTTAGTTCAGGCAAGCAAAGCATATCTGAGTGTTTACTATAGGACACCAGGCCCTACAGCTGTAATGAAGGCATGAGGACCAGGCAGAAGCCAGCACTGTCTTCTCTTCTTGCTGTGTGCCCTGGAAAGAAACACATGCTACTCAGTGTGACACAAGCCAGGACAATCTGCCCACAGTTCAGTCCAGATGGCAGGAAAAGGAGACCCTTGTGTCTTCTCAGCCTGCTGGGGCAAGCCCCTCCACCCCCTTCCCACTCTCTGCAGGCCCACCCTCCTCAGGCAGGGACGACCTCCTGGCCAGGGAACCACCACATGTAGACAGTCAGTCAACCTCCCAGAGTTGATTAGGACAGAGAAGAATTGCCTGTGAAAAACCTGTTTCTCCAAGCCAAGGAGAGAACCAAGTAGGAGCAAAGAGCCAGCAGTTGCAGCATCATTCGGCACAAACAAGGATGACCAGGACAGACAAGCAGTACAGGAAGGCGGGTAACAGGGGAGAACAAAAGGACACGCCTGTGTGCACGCACGCACATACAGAATGCGTTCTGGAATGAGCCAGCCAGAAATTAAGCTAAGTGTGGATCAACAGAACGAGAGGGCAAAAGGAGAGAAATGGGCAGCCATTCAAATGACTGAGAGTTCATTTTCTGCACAAAGGTGAGTCTCTACCTACATTTCCTATTGTCTCCCAGCATTCCATCTGCTTGCCCAGCCCCATCAGATGTTCGTTCTTTTTTTTTTTTTTTTTTT